TTTCATCCGGTTCAGCAGCACTCTGTTAAAGACCTTCCCTGGTATTGACAATAGTGTAATACTTCTGAAGTTTTCACTTTTGCTCAATTGTCCTTTCTTTGGAATCTTGACGAGGTGCCCTTCTTTCCAGTTCATCGGCACTTGTTCCTCCTCACAAATCTTTTTAATAGAACGTAAAGCATGTTTGTAGTTACTTCGATGTCTGACTTCAGTGCTTCAGCTTGTTATGTTGTCCGGACCCGCTGCTTTCCCGTTCTTGCTTTGTCTGACGGCCATTCTGATTTCTTCCTTCGTTGGTGGGTTGACGTCTATGGGAAGATCTGTGTGTGCCGCTTCGATGTCAGGTGGATTCATCGGAACCGGCCTATTCAGGAGTTTCTCGAAGTATTCTACCCATCTGTTCCGCTGTTGTTGAATTTCGGTGATTGGCTTGCCTTCTTTGTCTTTGACCGGTCTTTCTGGTTTACTGTATTTCCCTGCTAGTTTCTTCGTTGTATCGTGAAGCTGTTTCATATTTCCTTCTCTAGCAGCTTTTTCTGCCGTCGTTGCTGGTTCTTCCAAGTATTTCTTCTTGTCGGCTCTAATGCTCCTCTTCACTTGTTTGTTTGCTTCTATGTATTCAGCTTGTGCTTGGACTTTCTCTGCTCGTGTTCGGCTGTTGTTTATTGCTGCCTTCTTGTTCTTCCTTTCTTTGATCTTGTCCAGTGTTTCTATAGAGATCCACTCCTTATGATGGTGTTTCTTTAGGCACAGAACCTCTTGACACGTTGAAGTTAATGCTTCTTTGATACTTTTCTAGTTATCTTCCATAGCAGTTTTTCCTTTCAGTAGATCTTGTAAGGCTTGGAACCTGTTGTTGAGAGCTATCTTGAATTCATCGAGTCTGTCAGTATATCGAAGGAAGGCTGTTTTGGACCGTTGTATTGCTGTTTGTCTAGTTGTCCAGTTCTTTATAGCTACAACTAGGTGGTGATCTGAAGCTACGTCAGCTCCTCTCCTGGTTCTCACATCTTTCATTGTCCTTCGGAATTTTTTGTTGATGCAAATATGATCTATCTGCTTCTCTGTAGTGTGGTCCGGTGAGATCCATGTAGCCTTGTGTATACGCTTGTGTGGAAATATTGTTCCCCCTATGACCAATTTTTTGAATGCACATAGATTTGCAAATCTTTCTCCATTTTCGTTTCACTGTCCCAGTCCATGTCGTCCCATAATATCTTCATATCCGGTATTGTGTATTCCGACTTTGACATTTAGATCTCCCATTAGAATGGTGAGGCCCTTTCTTGGGCATTTCTCTATGATTGACTGCAGCCGCTCATAGAATTGATCTTTAATGTCGTCGTTGCTATCATTGGTGGGTGCATAACATTGGATAATATTCATTAAGATCCCCTCCTTCTTTGTTTTGAACGATGCTTTGATGATTCTGGATCCGTGAGATTCCCATCCTACAAATGCATTTCGTGCTACTTTGGACAGCATAAGAGCGACTCCCTGAGTGTGTGGAGCATTGTCCTCTTCGTGACCGGAGTATAGCAGCATCTCTCCCGTAGCTAGCCTTTTCTGTCCAGCTTGGGTCCAGTGGGATTCGCTGATTCCCAGTACTGCTAAGTTGTATCTCTTCATTTCCATTGCTATTTGACTGGTCTTCCCGGTCTTCCACATTGTTCGAACGTTCCATGTACCTACAAAATTTTTTGCTCTGGTTGCTAGAAGGGGCATCGGCCTCGTGGCTTCCGGAAGAACTTGGCTTTCACCATGAAGCGTCATAATTCTTCTAAATGATGACCTTCTAACTCCCAGGGCAGAGTTTAAATGGTATGAATTATTTTTTCTGGTAAGCGTTTTTGTAGCGAGTTAGTTTTCTACGGGATGGGACGCTAACCCCATGCCCAACCCTCCTCCTTTACCCGGGCTTGGGACGGGCAAAAACCCTATAAGAGCTACAGGCGGAGTTAAAATCAGTGTAAGGCCATCATATAAATTGAATGATCCTGAATTTGACTAACAAATGTACATATACATATGCATACACATAGGAACTCAAAATCAAATGCTCCTTGGTTTTCATCATGTTTTTATTCTGTAGCAAATGATATTAGATTAGTGTAGTTTTATATTTGAACATTGTTAATTGAATGAACAATAGTAACAAGGAAGTTCTTCTTACTCTTATCTTTTTCTACTCCTTTATTAGCTAGATTGCCGTAGTCATGGAGTTCATTGTTTGTGTGTGGGCTGTGATACTGCCCGGGTGCCCAAACCGAAGCAGGTGGTTATCTTAGGGGGCCACATCCCGAACCTTTGACCTAATGGTCTAACCCACAAGGCAGTGGAACATCGTGAGGAGATGCAATCCCATGGTAGCCGGTGACCAACGATTGGTTCATACGCCATTTGTTCCCGCAGGATACTGGAGCCCATGTGCACCATTGGTTTGTGATCCGGTTAAAGCGCCGGACGTTCGCTTTTCGTCCTCTCATTTTCGTAAACAACAGTAATGCCACGAGAAGGCAATGAGTAGGACTTCCCTGGCAGAGGCTGTATACGCGCGGCCGTGTGAGAGTATTTCGAGAGGGAGAGCGGACTTTCCCCACTCTCGGCCGTACCAGGGCGTTCGGGGGGCCCAATCTCACCATTCCTCTTCAACTTTGCCATCGATGACATTCTGGAAACAGCTCTGATGAATGTAAGTAATGGTGGTGTGGATCTGTTACCTGGAGAAAGACTTCTCGACCTTGAGTATGCGGACGATATTGTCTTACTGTGCGATAATGCCCAAGGCATGCAATCCGCACTTAATCAGTTGGCAATCAGTGTCCGTAGGTATGGTATGTGTTTTGCACCTTCGAAGTGCAAAGTACTTCTACAAGACTGGCAGGATTCCAATCCTGTACTCACCCTGGATGGAGAGCAGATAGAAGTAGTCGAGAAGTTCGTGTATCTGGGTAGCTGCATAAGTGCTGGTGGGGATGTGAGTGATGAGATCAATGCACGTATAGTGATAGCCAGAGCGGCTTATGCCAATCTGGACCACTTTTAGCGCCTTCGTGATGTTAGTCTGGCCGTAAAAGGTCGGATCTACAACGCGTCGGTGAGAGCAGTTTTGCTCTATGCTTGTGAAACCTGGTCTCTCCGAGTTGAGGACGTTAGACGACTTTCTGTATTCGATCATCGCTGTCTCCGAAGGATTGCTGACATTCAGTGGCAACGCCATGTCAGTAATGCTGAGGTTCGGCATCGTGTGTTCGGGCACAGAGATGATAATGCGATCGATGTCACCATTTTGAAACACCGACTTCGGTGGCTTGGACATGTTCTACGAATGTCGTCCCAGAGAATTCCACGTCGTGCATTATTTACCGACTCTGGGACTGGTTGGAAAAAGCGGAGAGGTGGTCAGTGCATGACATGTTGTCGTGGTATGAAAGAAAGCTGCAAAGGACTGGCTTGTGTCGGTCCTTCACGACTCCCTGGTTGGGGTCTGAAAGATGGTGCTAAACAGTGGCTAGAGACGTTATCAGATATGGCTCAGAATAGAAGCCAGTGGCGATCCTGCTGTAACCTTCTTTTACTTTCTTCATAAAAAGTGGTTGTGTCTCCCTTACCTGAAAGATTTCTTCTGATTGTACCTTTCCGTTCCATCGTTACGACCGCACTACCTTTCACCAATCTCTTTGTTATCGTTCTCTTTTTCTTTTGTGCTCCTTAGTTTTCTTTTCTTTTCTCTCTTCGAATTTTCATTGTTTTGTGTGGGGCATATATATTGGCGCTCTCTTATACCAATATTTATGTGCTCAAATAAATAAATAATAAATTAGCTAGATTTATTTTTATTTATTTAAACACATAAACGTTGGTACAAAAAGGCACGAAGTAGATATGCGCCACATAGATCTTTCTATTTGTGTGAAGGCTGTGATACTGACCGGGTGTCCAAACCGAAGCAGGTGGTTTTCTTAGGGGGCCACACCCCGAGCCTTTGACCTGAAGGTCTAACCCACAAGGCAGTGGAGCATCGTAAGTAGATGCATTCCCGTGGTAGCCTGTGACCAACGATTGGTTCATACGCCATTTTTTCCTTCAGGATACTGGAGCCAGCCCATGTGCGCCATTGATTTGGAATCTGGTCAAAGCGCCTGACATTCGCTTTCCGTTTTCTCAATTTCATAAACAACACCCTCACCACGAGAAGACAGTGAGTAGGACTTCTCTGGCAGTGGCTGTATAGGCGTGGTCGTGTGAGAGCATTTCAAGAGGGAGGGCGGACCCAACGCACTCTCGGTCATACCGGGGCATTTAGGGGCTAGATGTTTAAGCGCAACATGATACAACATTATTTTCAATGACTTAATAATTGCTTCCTTATTAAATGTATTTTGTCAATAGTCAACTTTCTATTGGAGTTGATTCAGTCTCCTTTTTTTTATATTCTTCATCTTTATGCTTTTACCTTTTGTATGTGTTAATGTATTAGATGAAATGTGTGATATTGGGAACCTTTGTATGCTTACATTTATTATAAGTCTATCGTATCAATTATAACCGACTGATATTGGGAGGTTGGTTAATCACAACTATGTGATCGTATGTAGCATTGATTGATTCACTGAAACATTTTGAATGATGAAGAAGGAGAAGAAAAATGCTTGACAGTAAATAGGAATTTCTTAACTGAAAAGTCTTTTTCTTCTTGATATTCAAATGTGAAATATTCCTCCCCCTTTTCTTTTAATTATCTTCATTATCCATTATATCACATTCTAGAAAACTGGATTGCTGTCGAAATTGTCCTATCTCTCCTTTCCTGAAAGAAAAGTATCTGTTTATTGAAATGTTTCTTTCATAACATCATTATTTCATTGTAACACATCTCTTGGTCTTAACAACTAATGTTATTTTTTAGTCAAAGTCTATTATTTTTAAACCTCTTCTGAAAAATGTAGAATGTAATTATCGTATATCTTTTCTATGTTTCTTCTTTACCTTCTTTTCAGATCAGTTTGTTAAGTTTGTTTCAACAACGTCGTCTTATTGGATCAATTAGTCGATTATTAGCTTGTCAACATCAAGAAACACGTCTGTTAACTTTATTAAATACAATACCAAAAGATGTGACTACTGCATTAACAATGTGTGAAATTCTTTGCCAATTATTAGGCCCACCCATAACATTATCAACATCCCCATCGTCTTTGTCATCATCATCATCATCATCATCATCATCATCATCATCATCATCATCATCATCATCATCATCATCATCATCATCATCATCATCATCATCATTACTTATATTAAATAAATTTGATTATCATTCCACTGCATTGATGAATCTATGGTGGTGGTCATCACTTGGTATAATTGTACATTCAGATACTTATCCAGTTCATTCTGTCGCTGAATTTGTATTAAATTATTTATTGGATACACAAAAAATCAATCAATTAGTTTCATTCAACACATGTTGGACAAATCCGTTTAATAATAATAATAATAATGGTGGAAGTGGTAGTAACAGTAGTAGTAGTAGTAGTAGTAGTAGTAGTAGTACCAATAGTAATAATAATATTTCCTCAATTCGTATTGATGATATGGTATTTACATTAGTGACAAGAGCAATGAGGTAGGTGTTAATTATATGTAGGAAAAATAAAATAATATCTGTAATTATTAAACATATGTAGAATTTTATCACTAACTGATCTTAGTTAGATTAACATTGTGGAAACGTGTAAGCGCTAGACGGTTGTTTCTTTCTAGTATATAACTCTCCAGTTAATGGATAAAGGTTGTTCAATGTATTAATTGAAGTTAATTATTAATACCGTCGGATACCGGCTTAATGGTAAGTGCTTGCGCACGAGACTCTAGGTCTCATGTTCAGGGTCATTGATGAACACGATTTAAAAGTCTCATACTAGAACGAAACGACTGTCCAGTCTTCTCAGGTTTTGAACAGTGGTCTAACTAAAAGCAGCTTTTGATTTAAACTATGAAAGTCCTACAATTTCCCCAATTCCCCTTGTACTGATATATGGGGCTTATGAGATACTGGATGTAATTAGTTCAATATTTATTATTATTGTGAGAGTTAATGATATCCTATTAAATGACGTTGATTGAACTAGTCAAAACTAGATTCTTACATAAAATTAATTGCTTCTTTTCACTAAGATACTGTTCGTCGTTTTGTATGCTTGTGTGTGTGTCTTACATGAAATACTCTGAGTTTTAAAAAAATGTAATATTATGAAGCTATCAACCTTGTTATTTCATAAGTTATACAATGTAATACACAGGTGATAATTGTAAGTAATGAGTGGATATTCTATCTGGATGGGATATATGTTACATATCTGCAACCATTGCCTACCTCGTCACTTAACATTGACTGGAGTATGAATAGATTAGCAGAAACCTGGGGACAGCCAAATTAAGATACTGATTACTTAGTTAGGTTCCAGTCAGTACTTTCGAGCATTGGCTAAAGATGTTTAGTGATGTGACTTATAACCGATTACAATGGTGCAGAGATCACTACATCTTGAACTACAATATTGTTTCATAATATTTGTTCTTCAAAATCAACTCTGTTGACTTCATCTCATTGTGTTATTATGGTATGACAACTTGTACTAATGAACTTCTTATTCCAGATCCTATATTGATTATAGCTGACTACTAATTGATTCGATAATCGTTATCAATTAATTTATTTTCAACTTTTGTATCCTTTAAACATAAATTTTTCCCATAATACGATCGAATAACGTTGAAAGCAAAGATTATCGTTTAAGTTCAAATTGTTACCAAAATCCATTTTATTTTGTTTCCTACATTTTCTCTCCCTCTTCCCCTCTTTCTTGTTTGTTAGATTTTCTGTTCTTGAAAATTATTCAATAATGGATAATTCGAGTATGATGGGAACTCATTTGACACGAAGTAACAGTTCACCACAACTATTATTAAATAATAATAATATTAGTAATAATAACAATAATGCCAACACTAACGGCATTAATGAAGGCTGTTTGCATTCTCAACGTATGAATTACAATCATCATGGTTGTTGGGATTATTACAATAATCTTAACAATAGAGTTTGCAGTAGTGGTAGTGTGGAAACTGCTCTTGCTGTAAATACAGAAGTTAGTGATCAAGAGTTTGGTCTCCCTTCATTAACAACGGCGACAGCGTCAACGGGAACAACAATAATAACTGGAAATATGATGGACTCATCGTCACAATTCACTGGAAATATGTATATGAATGCGAATTATGACAATCACCAAAGATATTCACACCCACATAGTAGTAGTAGTAATAATAATAATTCATTTCGATGGGACCAGTCACAGCAACAACAACAACCAGTTCCGGATTATGATCGTTGTATGATTTCCATACCGAATGTATCTGTACCACCGCTCCCATCTGTATTCTCTATGTCTACACAGAATTGTTTGAAATTTAATAATAGTAATAATAATAACCCACCTGTTTATCCAATGTTTAATTTACAAAATCTTGACAGTAATCGTTGGTTCTCGTCACCGTTATCTTCAGTTACAGCAACATCACTGCCGACAGTTGGACTACCAACGTCTATAACTACTAGTAATAATCTTGTTCATTCTACTTCAAACAATAGTAATAACCGATTCACAACAATTGATGATAGTCAGTTGATTGTAGGCAATAATATGAATAATAATAATAATATTTTATCATCAAATCAAAGTCCACAATATCGTCGATGCTTAGAAACATTAAAATTACGTCAAACTAGATTGGCTGTTGCATTGATTCGTGTCTCAAAATCACATATTAATCGATTAGATCAAATTGTACAAATTTGTAATCAAAATATTTATTCAGCTGTTAGTTTATTAGCTATTTCTCAACAGGTAAATAGTGGATATTTTTATCATGTTTAATATTACTTTTTCCACAGAAAATCATTCTTTTTCATGTGTACATAATACGGTTTGATATGCTTAGTAAAATCAATGAAACTATAATTTATGGACGACCTTTGAGCGAAACTGAAGTGACCTTGATAGTGTCTACCTAGTTACTAGAGCTAAATGAGGGTTATAAAGCAGTTTAAGGAATAAGGATTATGATTTACAGTTGATGGTTAGGGTTAGGAATTAGATTTAGGGTTCTCATTACGAACTGACATCAGTTACAATGCCAAAACTCTATTTAGCCAGATGAGTGAATGAAGTTCGCACCCAAATTTCAGACCTGTTATCGTAGATCTGATTGGTTCGTCCATAAATTATAGTCTTGCCGTAAAATCCTTAATTAGGATCTTAAAAAAAACTTGATTTATTAACACTTAGTGCAAAAAATGGAGAATATTTTGATAAAGGGAAATAAGATGTGAAGTAAGTACACTGTCTTTCCTGACATTATCCTAATCGTCCGTGTAAGTCTGTTAAAATCATCTCCATAAGTAATCTCCCAAATACACAGTTCTATCGCTAATCTCATATAGTATCAATTTGTCTATTGGAAAGTACAAGACATTGCACACATTCACATATCAATAAATAAGTTATGCATTCATTTCGTTGTTAATAAGTGGATTGAAATGCAGATCCATTACTACCACTACTAATTATTACTAAAGTTGTCTGATTGTTGCCAATGTGGAAATGTAGCCTAAAGTTTAAGGCGTCCAACTTTTGATTACTTTCATTTCTAGAATTGAATCTCACCTCGTTTACTAATTCTATTCATGTAACCAGCTTGTAGTATCACTAACCCTCATACTTATAGTGTAGCTAATACAATACTTAAGTACACACCAACTTGATGAATAAGTGTAAATCAATAACAGTTTTTAATAATAACAAATTTAATCAACTCGTTTTTTCCCGAAAATAATGCTTCAATTAAAAAGCTTACAGTATCTTTGTTAAAATTAGTTAATCAAAAAATAAATGACAATCTGTGATTATAAGCAAAGATGGATAGTCTCTAGCAGTGGAATTCAGTTTGACACGCGTTTCGCCCTATTTTGGACTCGTCAGCCGCTAGTCACTATCCATCTTTGCTTATCATGTATGTGAATTAATGCAATACGCACAGTATACACATATACCAATGAGAGATTGATCAATTACAGTCCTAAACATCAATCGGAAGATTCAAGTAAACAATATCAAGTGAATTTATATTTATGATTATGTTTCAAACTCATGATTGATTTGTGAATAAAATGATCGTTTTAGAGATTATATCTATAATGTCAAACAATCTTTTATTTAATTCGTATTTGTATTGGTTACTTGAATCTCCCCATCTTGTTGTGCTAACGAAGTATGGCAAATTGGACCGATGCATATATGTGCCTGGTCCTAGGTTGTAACTGAGTGACTGACTTGAATCTTCCCATTGATTTTTAAGACAAAGTTCTGGAGTGGATGTCAACTCTGAGATGCAGGTAAATTCAGCTAACGAGTCCCAAAATAGAACGTAACTCGTTTCCTGGTAGCCGGTGACCAATAATTGGCTCATACGCCATTTGTTCCTTCAGGATCGTGGAGTCCATGTGTACGATTGGTTTGGAATGAGGGTTTTCTAACTCCCCTATGTGGACTCTCTGTGTTCACCAACCCGGTTAAAGTGCCGGACATTCGCTTTTCGTCCTCTCAATTTCGTAAACAACAGTAATGTCTTGAGAAGGTAGTGAGAGTAGGACTTCTCTGGCAGAGGCTATATACACGTGGCCATGTGAGAGCATTTTGAAAGGGAAAGTGTACTCTCGGCCGTACCAGGGCATTTGGGGGCTATCTGTTTCATAAATACTAGGACTTGAATACTTAAGTATTTGATGAAACTTGTGAATAAAATCTATGGAGTGCTTGATGATTGTTTGTAAAAATAATTCACTAAACGAAACAACTCACCTTAGATATACCAAATGTTTCAGCAGAGGCTATAAAGATAGCAAAATATAATAGTAGGCAAGGATCTAAAATAGTCGATGGCGAATGAGTGCAGCCTTTTATGTGCGCGTGTGTGTGTATGGTTTCCAATCTAGAATAATTCACTATCCCAATCCTTGCTGATAAATTCAATTGGGGCAAAATATTGATACACAAATATTCTAATAAAATCTAAAATGAGTTAGAAGCCAAAAAGCCTGTTTGTTTCTAGGACTATTTCTAACAAGATAAACGAAGATATGATACGAGTGCGACAAAATAGAACCGAAGTTTGTGTATTTATTGGACGAACAATGTCCATATAAGATAATTCAATTGATATGCTTATCTTTGTAGTTATTTTGTAAAAATTTTATTACCATTATTATTACTATTATTATCTTTTTGGAATGTTTATTTATTTTCTCTTATCTGTCGTAAGGCCAGTAACAATTAAATTTTTTTTTCTTGGTTTCATTTTGTATTTTTCAGGTATTTGCAGAAGCAGTTGGTTGGAAATTAAGATCACCAGTTAATCGTAAACCTAATAATACCAATTTACTGGAATCTGCTTATAGTGAATGTGGTTGTTTGTTAAATTCAAATCCCTCACCTGGTTTATTGTTACCGACTACAACTAATCCAACAATTGAATCATTTTATACACGTGATCGTATATTTCTTATTAGTACTGCATTTCATTTAGCTTTAATAGTTGTTCTACGTACACTTAGCCGATCAGTACACTGGCGTCGACGTGAAATGTTAGCATGGGCAGTTACAACTGCTTTACATGTTGGTCCACCTGCTTGTTTATACTTAATTTATCATTGGTCATCTTATGTAAATCCAAGAGAGGCTGTTAGTTGGCTTGCTCCAGCTTTACTTACAGCTGTCGGTACATTAGATGTAAACACGTCAACTAATATTACTCCACGTATGTCAAAATCTTTGTCAACCAATAAACTTTGTCCTACTGATCAATCAAATCCGTCTACTATAGGCAACCCAATGTGTTTTGATCATAATTCACTATTCTTCGGTCTTTCTAATTGGGATGATGATTCTTTAAATGGTGGCTGTGCTAGTAGTGGTTTAATGATGAATATGAATCCTACACCTGATACAAATTATTCAATATGCCCAACATGGTATTCATTTTGTCCAACTTTATTTACTTCAAGAAGTCATAGTCATTCGATTATTATGGCGGCTCAACTACTTAACACTGCTGTGCCTTATTCAAAAGCATCACGTGAACAAATTATCAATGCTGTACGACGTATGGCATTGCAAGTAAGTTAATTTTAGTAACTTTCTATAAATATAGTTAATTTTTAGTTAAAATTACATAGAAACTTTATCTTGTATGTTTAAGCAGAGATATATGATAGCTAACCGTGGAATCTAAGACATGACTTTTGTTCTATTCAGGACTCATCGACTGGATGCACTTTCCAAACCAGAGTTGATGTTTACTCCGGGACTTGAACCCAGTATTATTCTCTCTGATGACCATCCCGTTATCCACGTGGCCACTAAGTTCAGACACGCATTGGTTTATATACATAAAGTAGTAGTTTGATTACTTGATTTTCAAACATCGGATTTCAGACTCAAACCCCATTCAAATCTGAGCATATTCTAACATCTACTGGGACTGCTATGATTTCCTTAAATCTGTTTACTTAAACAATTGGCAATAAGTAGATCAGTCCCTAATGTTGTTTTTATCGTATCAATCAATCGAGATGAATTTAATGTTCGAAAACAGCACAATATGTAACATCTTATTTGTTGTTTTGACACAAACATACATATATCATTCTTATGGAACTATCGTAAAATTTCATAGATGTTGCCTATTTTTTTAAATATATGACTCGTACATTCTATTTCGTTTTCGATTTTCTCTAACTCTTACAACATTTATCACTGAAAAATTATTGTACATTGCCACTCTACATTTTATTTTATGTCACTTAACTCCTTATTCTCTCGCCGTTTTTCGATTCTTCTACTAGTTCAATTCATCTTATCACAATAAATGTACCAGGATGTATTGTATTCTCCAATCAACTGACGAGTCCCAAAATAGATGAGGCTAATGGTTTTTTAAAGTGTATATGGTGATATTTTAGTAGTTAGAGTATCTCATTCAGTAGAATTCCTACTTCGCTTTACTTCAGTTTATAAGCAGTCAAGTAATATCACTTTTCTTGGTGCACATAATGTTGTAGCTCCTAGCACTTGGTAGATTTTCTTACATGACTTTAGTGTATATTTATATAAAAACCTTTAATGAGTGAATTATTAGTTCTTAGGATCGATAGTTACTATGTAATTATCATCATTTTTTTAATTTTTATTTTCACTACATTCTTATTTTCTTTGTATTGTTTTATGAGGTCATATCCATTAAGGATTTGGATTGTTTTAAAAAGTTTCTTAAATATAAAAAGAAAGATTCCATCATAACACAACTAATATAGTTTATTTCATTTTGCATATCTACTTTTATGAATCCGGTGTCCGTCTTGTGTGTTAATGAGGCATGGCAACTTGGACCGATGCATATATGTGACTGGTCCTACATTGTAGCTGACTGACTGACCGACAATAGTAGTATTAGTAGTTTCACTTCTAGATATTTTCTTCTTCTATGGAATAAATGTGGTAATGTGTAAAAAAAGTATAATACATAACGTTATCTAATACGGAGTAGTAGTAGTATGCTCACATCTTATTAAGCAGACATATATCTCATTTGTAATATAGACGGTGTAAATTTTTGTTAAAAAAAGTATCATACCTTAATTTTTTTGTACGTGTTAAGATTTTGTCCGCTTAAACTGTTGATACTTTCAAGATAATTCAATGAGTCAACATTCCTGATTTCATTACTGTCTGTAGTTAAACTTGGCATTAAAGTAATATTTTGCAGTTATATGAAGAACCCAACCCAAACATTAACACATTTTCATTTAAGGTGTTTGAGAAGTTTATGCAATTTATCAAAATAGTTGTCATTTCTATATTCTGAACCGATTAGAACTATTAAAGGGTTAGTTCTGAAGAGATAAGCTTAGATAGAACATCATTCAAAGTAACCAATCGTAGATCACAGTTGATTACAAGCTATGATTTCAATAATAGTATTTGAATCTAGGACCTTACAGTAGGTTACTATACTTCTTTGACATGAAAGCTATCGATCGATATATGGTCAATAGTCGTTGTAATGCTAGGGAACATGGTAACAGTTAGTGGCCATTGTCCATAGCTTATTGGCTCAATATGTCACTGAGTAACAATGAAATCAGAACAACTGCGGTCTTTTTGTTGCTTTCCAGCCGTTAATAATAACAAGACAAAAACCGATAGCACGATTATGACCCGGACCACTCGCGTCAGAATCCTCCCATAAACCTATCAAGAACACATTGCGACAGCTTCAGTTTTTCCTTACCCGATTTTCGATGTTGGCCAGTTATATTTAGCCGAAAACCGAAGCTCCTTTGCATTTGAATCTGATGATTTTATCTAATAGAAAATATCATCCTTGAAGGTTATTAATTCATTATTCTAAGTTTATTTCGTGATATTTAGAACTCATTTTGGAACCTTTCAACACTTAATCTTTTAGTTTTATTTTGAATACATATCAATCTAGTGTATTTATATTGTAATTCACAACTCATCGTTTCCGTTAGTTTAGATATCGTCTAGAGTATAAAATAATGTCTAAACTACTTATACAGATAGATAATTGCTAGTTTTGAATGAAATAAGTGACATCGTTATTTCATTTAATCTTATCCATGTTGATATTGTAGATCTGTATTGTTTTCTTTTCCATATTCAAGTACATTATTCAGAATGAACTAGTAAAGATCAACTAACTTCACATGAGTTGTTCTTCTTCAATTCTTTTCGTTCTTTCTTTTTTTGATGGAGTTTTATTCTCTGAGCTGGATGGTTTGGTCATGGAACTTTCATCGTTCTTCTGAAAGACATCAGCAGCAGCACAAACTTCGGATAGAAGTGAAGTGTTCGAATTTCTCCATATGCGTTTCACAACTTGTTTTGTACACCTCGATGGAGAAATTCGAACACTTCACACTTCTATCTGAAGTTTGTGCTGCTGATGATGTCGTTCAGAAAAAACGATGAAAGCTCCACGACCAAATCATCCACCTGAGCTACAAATCTTCTCCACCATTTCTTTTCTTTCTTACTGATATTAACTCAAACCAGAAAATATTTCTAAATTGTTAAGAAAGAGATATTGTATAAAATGAATTAATTGTACTACAACAAATAAAGAATACAATATATATATATATATATATATATATATATATATATATATATATATATATATATATATATATATATACTTACATAACATTATACTACTGTCACATGGATACTACGGCACAATCTTATTCAATATAAGCTATATATGTAACTAGACTTGTCACTCCCACTCATTCCATTTAAATTTCATTGGCTTATTTATTCTCTGACCTTGAATAATAATAATAATGTTTTATAACATTGTCATTTGTTATTATCTCTGATCAAGTATATCATAATGTAATATGATGAGTGTTAAGAATTTGTATTTTATTTATTTAATCACATGAATATTACCACAAGGGGGCCACCAGATAGAGATATACACCATACTTCATCATTCAATTTATGTGATGGTTGGAGTACTGTCCAGGTACTCAAACTGAAGTAGGTGGTTCTCTCAAAGGTCCACTCCCCGAGCAATTTTACTTATAGGTTTAATTTCCATGGTAGCCGGTGACCAACAATAGGTGTATACGCCATATTTATTAACACGGTTAATGCATCTGAAACTCTTTTCGTCCTCTGAATTTCGTAAACACCCCTACCATGAGAAGACAGTGAGTAGGATTTCCCTGATCAGTGGCTGTATACGCGTGAACATGTGTGAGTATTTCAAATGGGAGAACTGATATTCTCCAGGGCGTTTGGAGGCGAATAAGTAAATAATAGAGCTTAAATTATGGCGAAACTGTAATTTATGGGACGAACCAATCAGATTTACGATAACAGGTCATGTCATTCAAGGTCACTAACCATCGGTTGCTATCATCTCGCGGTCCCCAACCAGGTAGTCTACACATACCAACATGGCTCAGTTCACTTGTCAGTGACTTCATGGACTTGTGCCATGTTTTGGTCTGGCCGCCCCTTAATTTTTTCTAACCTACTCTTATACCACTGAACGTCGCACGTGAAGGCAGTCGGTCTACGCAACATTGAGATTTGCTAAAGTTGTTGAATTTCATACTTCACCTAATGGATTATTGACATTAGTTAGAAAATCAATGAAAATCAGAAAGCACTAGATAAGTGTTTTCAGTCAGTCAGTCAGCTACAACGTAGGACCAGGCACATATGTGCATCGGTCCAGGTTGCCATACCTCATTAGCACAGCAAGATGAACACCGGATTCATAGGAGTGGTTAGGTTAAAGGTGGTAATATATAGGAGAAAGATTGCAATTAGGATATAGTATAGGAATAAAGAATTAGTTAGTAGAAGGAAAGATATGAAGTGATTTTAATCTCTTAGTTTAAGGGAAGACGGGGAGTGTACACACCGACGCCATTTTGACCGATTCTGAGCCATGTCACCAAGAGTCCCCAACCGTTGGTTACGAAAGTCATGCGGACCCCAACCAAGTAGTCTGCATCTACCAACATAGCTCAGACTAGAAGTTAGTGACTTTAAGCACTGATGCCACGTTTTGGTTTGGCCGCCCCTAACTTTCTTTCAACCATCCCCTACACCGGTTAGCATTGCACGTCGCGGTAATCGGTGTTCAGGCATACGTAACACGGCCCAACCATCTCAGTCGATGATGATTCGCAACCTCATCAACTGACTTACCATCATTCTCTAATACCCTGCGTTTAACCTCACTATTACTTACCCGGTGATTCCAGCAGACGCCAGCAATATTTCTAAGGCATCTGTGGTCAAATACTAGTAGCTTACGAGTGTCTTCTACTCTTAAGGGCCATGTTTCGCTGCCTTAAAGTAAAACAGAACGAACTGCCGTGCAGTATACTCGTCCTTTTATTGATAGACGGATATCTCGCCTTCGCCAAAGGTGACGTAAGTTAGCAAAAGCTAAACGAGCTTTTCGAATCCGTGCTGAGATTTCGTCAGACACCAACCCATTAGGGCTGATCAGACTTCCAAGATAAGTAAAGTTATCAACGCGTATGACTACTTCACTCCCTATCCTTAGT